CCTCAGGGGTGTCCGACAGTCCAACAAAGTCATCCGCAAACAGCATTCCTGGCGGTGAAGTTTCTGTGTCCCATTATTTTACTCCCTTCTGGAGGGCATATAGGACTTGCAACAGATCGTTGATGAACACTTGGAACAATGTTGGGGACAGCGTGCAACCTTTTGGGAGCCCTTGGTCAACGTGGAAGAATTTGGACAGTTCTCCGTCTATCGAGCATGACCGCGGTTTTGGTACACTGTGTCATGTTCTTCAGCACCCTCCACATTTTCCCCTTGATCCCGTACTTGGGCAATAGTTTCCACAGCCCAGTTATACATACCGCGGGGGGGGGGGGGGGGGATGTGGGACATTGAGAGGGACGGATGCTGAGGATATATCCGTGAGAGAAAGGAACAGCAAAAAGGTCGACTTGACAGCCAGTGTTCATGTTTCTGCACCCGCAGTGTTCCCACCTCTAATAAATACGTTCTAAATGCGTCGATAACAAAACATTTGTGGCCGGGTCACGGGGTTATCGGGTACCAAGAATCGCGTATGCTCCGTATCACGTATCACCTCCTCTGAGCAGCAGTTCTGGAAAAAAATGATGCCATACTGGGAATGAGATACTGCATGGAGAGAGATGATTGAAAAAGAAAACGAAAAAACTACATAACAAACAAAGGCGACAAAAAATATAGAAGAGCGATGATTGAAAACGAAGAACAAGCAAAAATCGAAAAAAAAAAAAAAAAAACTCACCTCCCCCCGGTCAAGAGCATCTTCCACTTGAGGGGTGAGGACGCCGTGGGGTGCCACGAACCGTTTCGTCAGGTACCTCCGAATCTGTGGCACCTCGCTGGTCAAGGCTACGAGATCAAGATGCCTTCCGAAGGATTCCAACATCTCCTGCCAAGGCAGCGGCGGCGGCGGGATGTTGTGGAGACCACGGGCGGAAGAAAGAAATTTGTTACCGTTGAAGAAGACAAAGAGGGGGGGGGGAGGGGATACGCCGAGTGCGGGCGGGCGGATACGTTCAAGCGGGAAGGAACGGCGGTTGCTTGTCGCTTGAGTGCATACACCCTTTGTGTCCTGTACTTCAGGTGTTCGCTAATTCCTACTTGTGCCCCCTCCACGCACTACTACATCCCGTGGGGGGGGGCATACCATTCTGGCAACAAGAAGAGGCTTTTGATTGATTGCCCCACCCGACCCCACGAGAAACGACCACAACACCGCACACCACACGTGACGCGTGTCCATGCCCTGCCGAACGTGGTGCCTACCGCCACGTTGGCTTGCAAGTCCAGCCCATGTCGTTCGGTGTTCCTCTTAGCAATATACCGCGCGTGCTTCATATTTTTTCAGCAAAAACAGAAAACGCAACCCCACGAAGACTGCAGTAACTAATTCCGTATACGACACAAGATAACACACCCCCTGGGCCGATTTTCAAAGCTCGATTACTCCACGACGAAGGTGAGGCATAAACGAAACGGTACAGTTTCGGAGAGGTCTCGACCACACGGTTCCGGCGCTGCCATTTTCGGCGCTGCGACTCTTTCTGCTGTTGATAAACCGAGCGCAGAAAATCGGTCGAGGGTGCGTGTCATCTTGTGTCGTATACAGTAGCATTACGACAGAAAAAAAATACAGGTGCATGTTGATGCGGGAAACAACATTTTTTTTATCACACTACACGCAAGCAATCCCCCCCCCCCAGCGTGCATCGACGTGCACATCATCAAGTCGTGTACGCACACCTCTACGGTACCCTCATCCACTGGTCCGGGCGACGCCCAGCCTTTGAACCCGTGTGCCAAGTAGCTGACCAGTCCGTCCCTGTGGGGATACGCGAGCATCTCTTGCTTGGGGGTCATGCTATCCTGGAGGGGAAGTAGAAATAAAACACAGAAAAAATCGGGGGAGGGGGGGGGAGGTTGCCAAGAACAACAGATTAACCACGGTGATCGGAAAGAAACTGGAGCTGGATCAGGGAGAAACAGACAGAGAGACAAGAGCGGCAGGGAGCGAGTGGAGAGAGAGACAGCACGGTCCGCACGAATGATCTCGACCTTAACAACGTGGTGAACGGGAGGTCGGGGGTCCGGCGACCATCGTAGCGGGGCGACACGTTTTGTTTCCATCACTAGTTTCTCAAGTTTTGTACCATTGTACCAAACTATTACCTACATTCGCAGAGAAATCCTCGGACTTTTGCAACGCTACCTCCACCCGCCACAACTGCCATACCCACGGACGGCAACAGCAACGCCACCACAACAATGGACATGGTACAAACAGTAGCAGCATCACCTATCCTACAACTGGTCCGGATAGCAGCAGCAAGACCACCACCACCACCACCACCACCACCCCAACCAGACAACGACAATTACTGTACTACCCTGCGGACACCCACAGCAGCATCACCAATCCCCACGGACCGCAAACACCACCACCACCACCACAGAAGGCCAACACGAAAAGCAAACACAACACCCGCCTGCTGCGGACACGTGTCCTTGTGGCCCCTCAGCCTCCGGTGGCACAGGTCGTCGTACAGCGAGACAAGCCACTCGAGCGGCGGCCTGACCATCGTGAAGGCGAAGAAGCCGCAGTCGTTCTTCGCGTGCTCGTGCCTCATGGTCTCCAGAGCTTCTCGGGCCTGCATGAAACTGTCGTTTTTTTTTTTTTTTTGGGGGGGGGGGAAGCAGTGAGGCAGGCGCGAAAAGCCCAATCGCATTCGGCCCCCCGAGGTATCTAACGTCTAGAGTACATCTCTTGCATGGGTGCACTCCACTGAAAAGGGGGGGTGTCGCGCGTTCTTACCCCCGGTGTTGAAAGGAGTTTTAGAGCAAATACGTGCGCCGGATTCGTGGAGTTTCCACACCACACATGACATGCACATGCTCGGAAGAGGGTCGGGCCGGCTCTTCGTCTCAACGCAACACCACAACAAACCACAGCCACGCCAAGCAGCGCTCTCTGTCTGCTTATAGGCGTGGTATTCTTGAACACCGACACAAAACGTCCAACAGAGGTGATCGCGTGCCACCGAAATCGTTCCTACAGCTACAGCCAGCCCCAACGCTCAGAGGTGTATCGGTGAGCCGCAACGTCCAAACCAGAACGTCAGAGTCGGCTCGGCTTCAGCGCAAAGAACATATACCCACGGATACAAATTTGTATTTGTAGCCCTGACCAATGAATGACTTTGATCATCCCGGAGACTGACTTTGTACCTGGTGCAACTGTTGATTGAGCCCAAGCGAGAGGACACGAGTCTCGAAAAGCATAGTGGAGCCCACCACGTTGTGAGCAAGCACGCGCCCACCTACCACCCTTTTTTTAAAGTTCGGTTTGTGTCTTGGCTAAAAACCTCTGGCGTTGGGTTGAACAGGGCAAGAAGTACACACCCAGACAAAACCCGCGCATGCAGCCGTACAAGCGATTCCTCCCAGTCAGCAAAACTAGTTTCGAACGGTCAACCAGGCCTGTGCATTGCTAACACAGCACAACGATTTTCCCCGCAACATGTTAGCAACTATGCATGTGGGATATCGTGCAGTTAGTATTGTAATACCTGAGAGCGTCGCCACAGTGGAACTCAATGAGCTTGTGGCGTTGGCTTGGGCTCTCTTTCAGCCACGGTTTCCTGACAAACATAAACGATGATCACATCAAGACCAAAATCAACAACATCGACATCACCATTATCATCCGTATCCGCAACGGTATCTCAACTTGATGGGGACCAGGTCGGAGGCAAGAGTCGTGACAAGTTCTGTTTCAACTCAGCCCACAAGAAGTCGATCGCATGTTCGCCCAACAACACGCGTCGTGCGTTGTGACTGTCTCCGAGAAAATACCACACCATGCAAACTAAACCAACCGTTCTACAGCAGTAGTTTTTCGGTTTTTTTCCCACGCTCCATCCATTGTATGCATGTGCATACCTATTTTATGCCGCGGTGGTTTCGGGTTGAAAAACATAAAAACATGACCATCTGATACATACGTACACCGCCGTACACCAGTGCCTCCACGACATTTGAATTTCTCAACCTGCAGCTTTAGCGAGTGGAAGATGTTCTCCTGCAGATAGATGCGTTTGATGCAGCCGCAGCGGATGAACTTATGCTCTGCTATGCACACGAACGACGAAAGATAGGCGTTGTTCCGTCACCTCGGGCTCACTATTACTACTCACATGCTCTTCAAGTGGTTCTTTTGCTCCGTCAGCTCAAGCCCGGTTATTCTAAAGCTGCTCCAGTCGTAGGCGCTCTTCCACCACTGTATCCCCGGACGGAGCTGGTTGATCGACTCGCCCCCCGTTTTCGGGATGTGGAAAAACAGTATCGTTTGACATCCTTGCGGGTCCCACGGTGCCCGCGAAGTAGTGGCCCCTTCCCCTGACGACACTGGTGCTGCTGGTGCTCCCGATTTGTCCGCCGTGGGTTCTTGAGCTCTCAAGACCAGGGTCTTCCCGTTGCCGTTGGTCTTGCTGCTGCGTTGAATCATGGCATGGTAGCTGTACCCGGCCCATCCGCAAGTCAGCGCCACGGCTCCGCAGCTTAGGGCGCGGATCAAGCCACTTCTCCTGCTCCAGCCATTCGCACCACGATCGGGACGCATGCCAGCCACCTCAAACGATGTACCCTCGGGCCCCCCTATCGACCTATGTGGTGGCGCCAGTGCCAACCTCCTTCTCTTCCCATGCCAAGGCACCCAACGATGGTTGATGTGTCGGGTCGGGATGACTCTAAAAAAACGCGGGGGAATTACGCATCCTGGTACCTGGTACCTTCCCCGGATATCGAAGTGCACTCTGCGTAGTCCCTGATAGTAGGTCTTTGGGTCTGCTGCCAGAGACAGCGTTGTGCGTGTTGTTGAGAACGCAGCCAAGAGGAGAGTACATACAGATGGATATATACGCAGACCTTCCGTCGGCGAAGCCTTCCGCGGATGTCGCCGTCGCCTCTGCGGCCACCGCTGCTGCTTCGGCGTCCCCGGCCTCAAAAGGATCATGGGCCCACTCCAAGTTCCAAGGGATGATCGCCAACCGGAGGACGGCCAAGGCCGTGAGTGTGCTTTGTCGCTTTGTTGTGTGCTGTTCGTCTATGGGACACACCGAGAGTGTTTACTGCTGTAACTGCTGTGCAGTGGCGTGCTGCAACACCTGAGAAAATTGCCCGCGTGCAATGGCGATGGCGACGTGTAGAGTGCGGTTCAAATCTCTCTTATGAACACGAGTCTTGATCTCGAGGAACCGTAGGTGACATGACACAAGATACCACATCCCCCTGGACCGATTTTTCAAAGCTCCATTACTCCACGCCGAAAAGGATGGATACAAATGAAACGATACTTTTTCGGAAAGCTTTCACCGAGACGGCTTCAGAACCACTGTTTTTGGCGCTGCCGCTTTTTCTGCTCTGGAGACACCGAGCTTTGAAACTCGGTCCAGGGGGTGTGATATCATGCGTCATCTACGGCAAACACTTTCTCTCGATCACATCTGTGTGCCACCAGCTCGCTGCAGTAAAGTAGACTACAAGACTGACTGCAGAGTTGAAGAACACTATAGGCATTGTGGGGTGCGGTGGAATTCGAATAATCACGTCAGGAGATAACTCCGAGGCGTTATAATACCGTATATGACACAAGAAAACACACCCCGGTGATAACATTTTAGAGTTTGAAAATATTATCACCGGGTGTGGTATCCTGTGGGGGGGGGTGTTATCTTGTGCACCCCGGGTGATAAAGTGCAGCTCGCAGGGGCCCCTAGGGGGGTGTGATAAAACAGGGTGTGTGATAGCGCGTCCGAACACCCACAGCTTGTGTTTAGGGGTGTGATCAATGAGGGTGTGTGATAAAAGGGGGTGTGATAGCACGTCCGAACAGCCACAGCGTGTGAATTGGGGTGTGACAAATGAGGGGGTGCGATAAAAGGGGGTGTGATAGCCATGCCTGCACGTACACGTGCAGTGTACCTACTTAAAGGGGCGTGGAAAAACAAAGGGGCTCAACCGAGGTGACGAAACTCCTGAGCACATGACCTCGGCGATAACTCAACCCTCTCATCGCCAAAAGAAGTTTGAAACAAAATACGGGCTTGAATCGAGCAAGAAAAAATTAAGAATCGAAGGTACCTCGACCGATATGATGATTGGCGGTGGCCACAGACTGCGTGCGCCATCCTTCCTGCCCCCCTCACAAAAACGTTTACTTGGTACTTGCGGCTGCATTCTGCTCTGCCTGCACGTTCATGTTGTTGGGGGTCTCCATGCGGGGTGTTTCCCCGCACACAGATGCCGTGGCTGTGTGTGTGATTGCCCAGGGCAGATGCTGTCACCCCGGTGATAAAGAAGGAGGGGCCCCGTGACTATATGCGGCGTAACTAAAAATATCACCGGGGTGTGTTATCTTATGCACCTCCGGTGATAAATCGATGGTTTGTCAGAAGCGCCCAAAACTATCACCGGGGTGTCGTATTCTGTGGGGGGTGTGCTTTCTTATGTAGGTGTGTTATCTTGTGTCATATACGGCAGTCGCGCAATTGCCTATCGGAAGATCTGACTCACAACCAGCCGGCGGTGTACCTACCCTGTCAACCACGGACACACTTGCTAAACGCATGCCGTCTCCGTGCAGGATTGTTTAGGGATGCACGTGGCAGATGGTGAACAGAAAACCATACTCTGGAGCGCGCCACATCTGTATCGCATGCAACTGCTGCTGCTGTTTCGCGTGTGTAGGTTCCTGACACCCGCCCCCCGCGCCCCCCCCCCCCCCCCCCCCCC